AGGTTTTTTAAGAGCGAGTGTTAAAAGACCCAGCGGGGAATTTTTAAAAGAAAGTTTATTTTCTTCTTCTTCTTCTTCTTCTTCTTCTTCTCCCTCTCCTCCTCCTCCTCTCCTCCTCCTCCTCTCCTCCTCCTCCTCCCCCCTCCCCCTCCCCTTCCTTTTCCCCTCACTCCCCCTCTCCTACTCCTCCCCTTCCCCCTCTCCCTCACTCCCTCTCCTCCTCCTTCTCTCCCTCTCCTCCTCCTTCTCTCCCTCTCCCTCTCCCTCTCCCTCTCCTCCTCCTCCTCCTTCTTCTTCTTCTTCTTCTCCCTCTCCTCCTCCTTCTCCCTCTCCCTCTCCCTCTCCCTCTCCCTCTCCTCCTCCTCCTCCTCCTCCTCCTCCTCCTCCTCCTCCTCCTCCTCCTCCTCCTCCTCCTCCTCCTCCTCCTCCTCCTCCTCCAACCCCCCTCTCTCTTTCCTCCTCCTTCTCCCTCCCCCTTCCTCCCTCTCTTTCTCTCCCTCTCCCTCCCCCTCTCACGTCTGCTACTGCGTGGGGAATTTGTAAAAAGAAACGGAAGAAGAAAAAGAATAGAGCGAGAGAAAGAAAGAGAGAGAGAGAGATCACAATGAAGATTTTAACGAATTAAAACCGTCTGGAAAAGAAATGTGATATTCATGAGAGGAATTCTACCGACAGAATGTTAATCTATGAAGGATCTAATAGGTAGAAATGATTCCTTGAAATAACTTTAATATGCAGTTCAACAAATAAACAAATCGAGGATGATAAAACACACATGAAGAAAAAAAAACACACTCACAAAAAGATATTTGATACATACAAACAAACACAAATAATATTTAACCTAATCTCCACATTTCAAAATTCCCGCCTTTTTGAGGCCGGTCATTCATCAGGGATACAGGCCCAATGCATGTACCTGTCAGCTGCGAGGCCTATGTCTTTTTTTATCGCTCGATTTCGTTCTCATGGTGTCTATCTCTTTTTTCTTTTTTTCTTTTCCTTTCTCTTGTTTTTTTTTCTGTGATGCTTTTTATTTTTTTTATTTAGTTTTTTTTGTATGGGTGTTTGTGTTTCTTGTTCTCTGTCTGCTATTTTTTCTTTTGCTATTTGTGTTTTATATATTTTTTTCAGCTTCTCACTGTTCTCTTTCTCTCTCTCTCACTTCCTTTCTCTTTCTATCTTTCTTTCGGGAGTGCTCCCCCCCCCCACACACGTATTTGACTGTTTCCCAGATGAAAGGTTGTTTAAGAGCGAGTGTTAAAAGACCCAGCGGGGAATTTTTAAAAGAAAGTTTATTTTCTTCTTCTTTCCTTCCTTCTTCCTTCCTTCTTTCCTTCTTTCCTTCTTTCCTTCGTTCGTTCGTTCCTTCCATTTTTCGTTCGTTCGTTCCTTTCTTCCTTCCTTCCTTCTTTCCTTCGTTCGTTCGTTCCTTCCATTTTTCGTTCGTTCGTTCCTTCCATTTTTCGTTCGTTCGTTCCTTCCATTTTTCGTTCGTTCGTTCCTTCCATTTTTCGTTCGTTCGTTCCTTTCTTCCTTCCTTCCTTCTTTCCTTCGTTCGTTCGTTCCTTCCATTTTTCGTTCGTTCGTTCCTTCCATTTTTCGTTCGTTCGTTCCTTTCTTCCTTCCTTCCTTCCTTCTTTCCTTCGTTCGTTCGTTCCTTTCTTCCTTCCTTCCTTCTTTCCTTCGTTCGTTCGTTCCTTCCATTTTTCGTTCGTTCGTTCCTTCCATTTTTCGTTCGTTCGTTCCTTTCTTCCTTCCTTCCTTCTTTCCTTCGTTCGTTCGTTCCTTCCATTTTTCGTTCGTTCGTTCCTTCCATTTTTCGTTCGTTCGTTCCTTCCATTTTTCGTTCGTTCGTTCCTTCCATTTTTCGTTCGTTCGTTCCTTCCATTTTCCCTTCGTTCGTTCGTTCCTTCCTTTCGTTCGTTCGTTCGTTCCTTCCTTCCTTCCTTCCTTCCTTCCTTCCTTCCTTCCTTCTTTACTTCCTCCCCTTCCTTCCTTCTTTCCTTCTTTCCTTCGTTCGTTCGTTCCTTCCATTTTTCGTTCGTTCGTTCCTTTCTTCCTTCCTTCCTTCCTTCCTTCCTTCCTTCCTTCCCGCCAACCAACTAAAACACCCACTCATCCACACCTTCCTTCCCGCCCACCTGCCCACCCACCAACACATCCACCCACCCACCTGCCCACCCACACCTTCCCAAAAGAAAACAACAACAAACGAAAACAACATAAACTCGTAACTTCACCACGAAGGACAAGAACAATAACTCTCATAAAAGAAGGAGAGGATTGCCACATAGAAACCCTCATATGCGGTGGAGTTAAAGAGATCGGCAGCCGGAAAAGTTTGAGAAGAAGAACGGGAAGGTGTGAGACGGTGTTATCAGCACGGACGCACGCGCGGTGGATGCGCTCGCGTTTGGACGGAGGCGGTGGTGTGTGTTATGTGTGTGTGTGGGGGGGGTGGGGGCTAGGAGAGGGAGGAGGGGGTGTATGTGTGTGT